GACTATGCTTCAGAAGGATAATAATTACAGAGAGACAATAAAGAGCATGGGACTAAGCAGATGGCACTGTCTAAAGAAACATGGATACTGTAAGAAAGTGGTGCTTAAATGTATTCTATGTATTCAAGTTTAACCTGGGGGTGACAAAAAAAGGTGATGCCATTATGAATGATGGAGGGCTCAGAGTAGGCACGTGAATAAATATGTAAATGTCCTTGTGTTAATATGTAAATCAGATAAAATGGAGTTACTCTGCTATAGGTGTCAACAAGAGACCAGGACTCCTATGAGCTAACTCACCCATGGGTGTAACCAAAAAGCTATGGGGCTCCACAGAATGATCTGGAAACCCACTAGACTCTAACACCTGAGGAAGCTTAAAATGCTAACACTGTATCCCTGTTATTGTGTTTCGGTGATATTTGTATTTTTATTACAAAAGTGATGATAATAAGCCACATACTCTTTCATCTTCTTTCTGTCTCCTGCAAACACAACTTCTTCGGTCAACTTCAGAGCAAAGCCATTAATCATGCCAGTGGCTGCTGCATTAGCCAGCAAATGGCATACTCATGAGCAAGACTCTGGATTCTGATGTTTTTCCTTAAATAGGGTATTGATGTGTAGCTAAGGATAGCCTGGAACTCTCTAACCTCCTGTCTGAAATCACAAAGTGCTAGGAATGCAGTATATGGCACCATATCTAACAGTATTGGGAGGGTGTGTGTGTGTGTGTGTGTGTGTGTGTGTGTGTGTGTATCTGTCTGTCTGTCTGCCTGTCTAGCTACCTGTGTGTGTCTGTCTATCTGTGTGTCTGTGTGTCTGGGTGTCTGTGTGTGACTGTCTCTGTGTGTGCCTGTTTACATGTATAAGTGTGTGTCTGTCTGTGTGTGTATCTGTCTGTGTGTCTGTCTGTATATGTATGTGTGTCTGTGTGTGTGTGTGTGTGTGTGTGTGTGTGTGTGTGTGTTTGGGTGTAGGGAGAAACCTTGATTACAGGTACCGCTGACCACGCCCGCTTGGGCATGGTCACAGGTAGGTCACAGGTAGGAGCCAGGGAGGCCAGCACAAAGCCCTCTCGATAAGGCTGAGCCAACACTGGGAAACATTTCTGGGTCCATCCTGCTCAGGGTGCAAACCTGGTCACTGGTTCCCTTGTGTGAGCGTTTCCACTAGTAAATTACAGTTATTCACCTCTCTCTGACTCCACTTGTATTCTGAATTATTCAGGTGCTCAGATGTGCACATGTGTACATGCATATGGACACCAGAGGACACCTTCAAATGTTGTTACTCAGGTACCATACGTCTTTTCCTTTGAAACAGAATCTCTCAGTGGGTTAGAGCTTCCTACATAGACGAGGCTGGCTGGCCAGCGAGCCAGGGATCCCCAATCTCTGCCTCCCTAGACCTGAGAGTACAAACACGTGTGACAAAAAAACAAACAAACAAACAAAAACAAAAACACCTTGTTTTCTAGGGATTAAATTCAGGTTCTCATGTTTGCATAGCAATCACCCACTGAGCCATCTCCCCAGCCCCCTGGTGATTAAAAATTATGACTTAAAGAACACAATTCTGCTTTCATGATTTTCAGTACAGGTAATAGTTACACAGCTAAGCATAGTGCTTGTGCATTGAGATTTTTTCTTAAACTGTGACTTGAACCCAGATCCATATGCACACTCAGCAAGAACTGTAGTGTTTTCTATACCTTAGTCCTACCTATTTCTTTTAAATTCTGATACATATATATATTTACTTATACATTAAAATACATGGACATGTAAATATAACTGGTGCTAATATTCTAATAGCTTTTCCAAAAAAAAAACCCAAAAAAAAAACTTCTTGCTTGTTTTTGTTTTAAGTCAAGGGCTTGGCTACATAGCTGCTAGGGACTTATTGGCTCAGGCTGGCCATGAATCTCTCCATGCTCACCACCACACCTACTTTAAGAGAACTCAATTACATAAACATTAATGGATATTTTTCAATGACTTTGGTATACTAAAGATCTTTGAATCAATAAAAAAGAAAAGTGCAAACTGAATCTTTCAGATATATTCTTTGAGTTTTAACAACAAGGATAGGTTTACAAAGTTGAATTTAAATTTGTTACACCTTTCAATAAATAACGAAGGGTTTCACCAGAACTCACATTAACACTTGTTTTATTTCATTGGGAAAAATAAAAACTGGGAAATGCTTCCTCTCCAGACTGTTTTTTGTTGTTTTTTTTTCATGCCATGGGCACTGCAAGTGCTTTCAGCTCTCCGGTTACTTCTGCCTTGTGTTAAACCTGCGTCTCTACCAGCCGCAGCTACTAACAACACAAGCATTCATTCTTCCGTTCCTAAGAAACTAGGAGACCAATAACATATTTTTGTTTGTAAGTTTGGAGAAGGCAGCTGCTTTGACCGCCAAGGTTCTTTTCCAACTGAAATGATGGCTTTCAAGTGTGAAGTTCTAGCATGCGCTTCTGCAGGCATTGACAGGGCCTCACTGCCCTCACTAGTGTGGATACAAATAGTTCTAAGCCTTCTGTTTCTGATAATCGGCTGCAAGGATGGCATCGGGAACAAATGCAGACATACTGGGAAGACGATTGTAAAGCTGTCTTGCTGGGAGCATTCAGAGGAAATGTGCTGCCTCCCTGGCTCTGTCATGATATCATAGGCTGTTTCCCTCCCGCAGCGGTGCCCACTGGGGTTACCATTGTTAATTTTACACTGTACTTTTCCAGTTCAAGACACTTGGCCCTTGGCCTCTTTCTCATTCCCAGCATGTCCAGTGGGTGGCCTGTGCTGTCTGGCTGCTAACCTTAGGCGATACTTCATCTGATCTAATAGGTACTCAGCTCAGATGGTCGCCTGTGCAAATGCCACAAGGAACAGCTCCCGTGGGACCCGAAAGAGTATTCATTTTCCAAAGAGAATGAAAGCTCACATGGATAGCATATAAAATAAGAGCTCCTTAAAATGTAGAGTGACCAGGTTACTTCACCCCTTCCTTATGCTATTAGAAAAAGGCAAGATTTAAATACTGTAGAGACTTATATGCCTACTTGACACTTTAAAGGTAGAAAATGACCCATAAAATGTATTCGGATCCCCCTCACCAGCCTCTGCAGTCACCAGATTGGCAGCTCTTTTTTTGTAAATGTGTGTTTATTTTTTATCTTATTTGTGTGTGTGTTTGCCTGCCTGTATACAGACATGAATGCCTTGGAGGTCAGAAGAGGGCCTCAAATCTCCTAGAACTGGACTTCTGGGTGGTTGTAAGCCACAGTGTGGAATGAATGCAGAGCCTCGGCTTGAGCAACAAGGATCCTAACCACTGAACCACCTCTCCAGCCCCTTGGACCGTCCTTTTGCAGCTGATGTTTTCATTCTCCTCCTAACTTCCTGGTTTCAGACATTTGGAGCCTGCTGCTCCTCCCTGTGGTTTAAGCAGCAGGAGAAGCTCTTGCTGTGCTCTTATTCCCTCCAAGCCTTTGCTTCTCAGCACTGACATGCATTCCACCGGACTCTATCTGCATGCACATACGCTGGTCCCTGCCTGCAGATGCCCCAGGGTGCACCTTTTTTTCCTTATCTCCATTTCACTGAATGTTCACAGTGGTTCATGGTGTTTCAATCTCAAGCATACATCCTCTGCTCCGGCTTCATGGCTTAGTCCTATCTTCACAGGCCTTTCCTCACCCCTCTTCAATATCTCTTCTCTCTTTCAGACAAGTAGTCAATCTTCATTAAGTTTCATTTATTATTTTCTTCTAATAATTTAGGAGAAAGAGATAGAGCTTAGTGACCAAAGGATTCCCCTTCCTTGACAAGCATGGCAGGAAGGTGTGGGTCTGGCAGAGGCAAGCGAGTGAATCAGCATCCCATGAGATTATAAATGAGACCTTGCAAATACCACCAGAGCCGAGGACTGGTTCTCCAGGCAAAAGCAAGGAAGAAAGATTTAGGAGGAAGAGCTGATGGAAAGTAAGTTGCCACTGTGAAAACTTACTATTTTCTAGAACATTCTACAATGAACCATCATCTCTGTGGCATGAATGGGTTGATTTCCTGTGTTAATTTGACAAGGTTAAGAGACACCCAGGTGGTAAAGCATAATTTATGCTTAGTCACTGCATGGACTGCAGCCAGTGAGTGCTTCAGTATGCTCCCTGGCCAGCCGTAGCCTAATGAGTGGACTCCTAGGCAATGAGAGACCCTGTGTCAAAGAGGGTCATTCCTGAGGCTGACCTCCAAGGTTGTACCAGGGACATACATACAGTAAGAATATACACACAACACCCACAAAGATTTAAGTTCTATTAAATTGCCTCTACAGGAACAATAGGAGGACTTGAAGCAGTTCTAACATGTATACTCTAGCCTTCCCTAGGACCTAAAGGTGTTTCAGAAGAGTAGAGAGGGTCCCAGATTGAGAGGGAAAGAAAGGAAGGAGGGAAAACAAAAAGGAAGTTTCTGCAACTAGAATCCAATAAGGCTAAGTGTTAATGAGCCCTCATTCTAAAAAGCTAGTTAGTGACAATAGTAATTCACAGGGCCCATTGTTGACACAATGAATAGCTGCTATTACCACTTATTAGTACCATGTTAGACACCTTCACTGGTGTCTGGGCTGAAGATGGGATTGCAACTTGATAACCCATTGTAAATGGAAAATTAAGTCGAAAATTCGTGTCATACTCCTAACCTAAGCAACTTAGCTTAACACCTCATACTTCCTGCTGCAACCTGTGGTGACTGGAAGCCTGAGTGTGAAGAGTCTCGGGACAATATTCAAAGTTCAAATTCTGTTATCTACTAAATGTGACTGTAATGTCTCAGTGCTGACTCTATGAATTAGGCATCATTTTCCTTTGGTTTTTACTTGTTCAGTATTCAGGGAAGAAGCTGTTTGAGCCACTCAAGGGCATGGTATCAGAAGGGAGACAAAATGTCTCCATGTTCCTCCAGTGCCAGCCCAGATGCCAGGTCTGCAGTATGGCTGTGGTTCTGCTGCCCCAGACCGTTACAGGCCTGGGCCAGCCATTCCTCCAGCTACTTCCCTTCATCACCGCAGGCGTGAAGCCAATGAAACTCATTTCTAATTCCTTGCTGACGTTCACTTTGCTTCTCAAAGTACCTCCGATAGTTGTAAAAATTTGTATTTTAACTGCTGTGATGGTGTCTGCAGTAATCTAGCCCTGTTTCAGAAGAATATCCCTCAGCCATCATAGGCCGAAACCAGCCATCTGAAAGGGAAGCAAGTGTCAGGCATAGAGAGAGGAGAAATTAGCTACTGTTGATGGATAGTCTCAACTAGACACAGGAGAGTGGCGCACAAACACCAGGTGAAAGTGATCATGGTGCACTCTTTGGGGCCAGCTCCCTAACTGGGAGGAAAAAGGACACCAGAAGCTTCCTTCCTGACTACAGGGTTTTAATGAGTCTCAGATGATAGTCTTGAAAGTCAGTTGATGGGCAGTCATTTCCAAGGAGAAAGCAAGCCTGCAGCATGGCTTACAAGCATTGGGTTGCAAGGACACTGATTTCTGGAGCTCCCTTCTGTGAATGCATGGGAGCACACATTTCTGTCATGTTCCAGGTGATGCTGCTGCCAGTGGGAACTCTACTTTGAGAGCTACTAGCCTTGGTTAGAGAAACCAAGGCTATGCCTTAGAATCTCCTAGAGAGTTAAAATTTCTGAGGCAAACCCACCCAGGATAATTCAATCTGGACCTCCAGGTATGACCCAGACTTGGAAAATTTAAAGGTTCCAAGTGATATTACCAAGTACCCAAGATTAGTAAAATACATATATGTGTATATATGATTTTTTCAAAGATAGCTTTCAGGATATTAGAAAAATTAAGTCATAGTTTGAATTTACAATCTATCCCATGGCTCATGGTGCCAGTGCTTGATTTTCTAAAGGTGATGGTAATTTTAGGGGCCTCTGGGAATGAAGCAGATGGGTCCAAGC